ATAATTTATAATATTTTATTTAAACTTAAACTCTTATTTATTTGAAGAATTTATAAAAATTTAAAAACTCATTCCCTTCTTATGAGTTGTTTTCTCATGAAACCTAATAAAATACCTATCATAACAAACCTAAAAAACCTAAGTTGTTAAGAAATAATAAATATTATTTATTTTAATAATTATACATTATATAATATTTTTTAAATTTTAATTAATAATTAATAAAACTTTCCATATTTTTATCTATAATGCTTTTAAGAAATAAATAATTAAACACTAAAATAACTTTTAATTATAACAATGACATCATAATTTAATACAATTATAACAATAGTTCTAGCCACAAAACCTCAAAACAATTCCAAACACACCCTTAGTCTTTTTCTAATCCCTAAGCACATGTGTGAATTAACACTTACATTTTGTTTGCATGGAGGAAGTTAAAAGGGAGGGAGAAGAGAGAGAGGGAGAAAGAGCATATTTTTCTGTTTGGATAAATCATTTTAATGGAAGGAGAGAGAGATGGAAGAAGACGGAGCTCTCTCCTCTCTGTTTTCAATCCTTCCAATTTGGAAGGATTGAGATGGATTGCATTACTTAACTTATTTTTATTTAAAAAATTTTTAAAATAAATAATATAAACATTCTATTCAACTATTTATTTAATTAATAAATTTTAAAAATTTTATTTTTCTTTATTTTATTTTTTATTAAATTATTTAATTAAATAAAAATATTATCATTTCCTCTCATTCACTTTTATTTGTCCAAACAAAACTAATATTAACCATTTACTTCCCTTCAATACTCTTTCTCTCCCCTCCCCTCCTCTCTCCTCTCCTTTTTTTTCTTTTATTAATTTTTATCCAAATATAAGTTTAAGGACTTTTACGCTAAAAACTTTTAGCCTTAGTTTGGATTGAGAAAGTTTGAAAGAAAAGGAAAGGAAAAGAAGGGGAAAATGCCTCATTCTTTCATTTGGATTAATGGTTTTAATAGAGAGGGAGGAATATTGAAAGAGATGTAAACCCCTCTACCAGGCATGCTCCCTGGGAGTATTAACCATAAATCTTCCTTAAATCAATGGATTTATAACGATCATAGCTGGGTTGAAAGAGGAAAATTTGAAGTTTTTGCTTTCGCTGTGCCTTCTTTAAGCACAACACTTTCGTATCCGCCAAGTTCGCACCTCACATTTTTCTCCCTCAATTCCTCTATTCTCATCTACACGTTCCATCTTATATCAATTCACCGATGCCTTCTCCATGGTTAAGCATGACACACAATGACAAGTGAGACCCTCATGACTATTTGGAGTCCTGATTGATCGATTCTTGAGGCCTATGATAAGAACACGTGTTCGAGTGGTACTCGCCGAACTCGCAGAACTCAAATGATTTCAAAGTAATCTCTTGAGTTGGCCACGGATTTGGGTACATTGATCTTGTGGATGCCAGATCAGGGCCATATGCATCAACCGAAGTCCCAAATTGCACCATGAGGATGTATCGGACCATGAAGACTCAAATTTGCAGTAAATAAAAGATGAAGGTCCGACAATATTTGGGGTAGGTTTTGATAATTCGGTAATTTTTATCACATGGGGTTGAGATTGTCTGGCTATAAATAGACATTTTTAGAGTAATTTCTGGGAAGGAAGGTTTTCTATTTTTGGGGGAATTTTATGTTTTTGAGAGGGGGGGCAGAGGGAAAGAAACACAAGGCGATTCCCGGTGTGGTTAGCTTGCTGTTATTCATCTGATCTACTTCTTTCTAGGTATATCTGCTAACAACGGATCTCTGGAAATAGATCTAGGAAGGATGAGGGGAATTACTCTACGGGTAGGGTACCCCAAATCCAAACTTGAACCTGTCTCCCAATCTTCACCTTTTAAGAGTTTCATTTTTGTGTTTATTTGAATGCAGATTAGTGGAAACTTCTTCGTACTTACGAATAAAAATGTGCTTTATGCATTCAATCATATTTTCTGTTATTACTGGTTGTTTGGCCTTTGAACATATTCCATTGTTTATTTATTTTCTAGGAATTGGAATGAATTTGTTGAATATTAACGCCAAATCCCTAATTCCAGTGTTGGTTTGATCTACGTGGATTCGTTTTGACGTATGGGTTTTGTTTACGGGTCGAGTTGACCCAATACACAAACCCAGGCTGAGTTCTCTACTTAAAAGAGGACCCAATTAAATAAATAAGGGAATTGAGCCAAGGCCTAAGTTTACGAATTGAATCCATTAAATAAAATATAATAAATAAAAAAATAAAAATTTTATTAATTGGTAGATAGTGATTAATCTGTTTTAATGATAATCTTAATAAAAATCTAATTAATTATGCTCATTGGCCCCAATTAGAGTAAGATTGAAATCCTATTATGGTCCTTCAACTTAAAAATACTCTTTTTTAACTCTTAAAATATATTATATTTAATCCTTTTTAGTTTTTCTATTAAGGGTCTGTTTGGTGAAGTTTTTTGGAGCTTTTATTTTTTTAACACTGTTTATGAGTTATAAGTTTAAATTTTTATTAGAGAAAAAATTTTAAAATTGTTTTTAGAAATAATAAGAAGTGAGTAAGAAGTGAATAAGAATAAAGTTTATAAAACGTAAAAGTTTGAAACTTTTCAAAATTTATTGTTTAAAAGTTTGAAACTTTTCAAAGTTTATTGTTTAAAGTCTTTTTAAAATTAAAAAAAAATTAAAAAATGTAAGTTTTTTTTAAAAAAATTTAAATTTATAAAACATAAATAGTTTCAAAAAACTGAAGCACTTATAAACTTCACCACACATGATCTAGTGTTGACATGAAATGTTAACTCCAAAAAAATGCCATCATTTTTTTTCTTATAAAATTATGTGGATATTCCACCTAGACTAAAAAGGTTTGATTTTTTTGAATAAAAAATTACATGGAAAATTTTTAAAAAATAATTATAAAATTTTAAATTCCACATCAACATTACATAATTAGAAGATTATTTTACCCTTGTCTTCATCCTCTAAATTTTTCACATTTTACCTGTTCCTCAACATTTCATATCTTCAATCCTTAACTCTCTCTAGATATCTTTCTCTTTGTGCTCTACTCTCTCTACCAAAAGCTCTTAATTTCTTTTCTTTTCTCTTGATTTTAACCTTTTTCTCCTCTTAATTCCTTTTTTCATGTGGCTGGGGGCTTTATACGAGCCCAATCTCCTCCTCTCTCTCTTGATTCTTCTTATATTTTCTCTAGTGGCAGAACCAAGATTTCTCCTTGGGTAGGGTCTTCTTGTCTTACCCCCACTTAATATACCATAGTTATATATAACGAATAAAATAGATAAAACATTAAAATACAAAAGACCAAATTGTGACACAAATGGAAGAGCAAGGACTAGACAAAAAAAAAAAAAAACAAATCCAATTGAAGAATTAATGTTGGCTATTCCATTTTAGTAGATTAAAATATCAAAAATACTATCATGATTAGCATTGTAACTATAGTTTATTCTTTTAAAATATATGAATTATTCTTTTAAAATATATGAATTCCTCTTTCTTCTATGATGACACCCAAACCTAATCAAACCCTCAATCCTCCTTTAATCTTCTTTTATTGTAGTGAATTAAGAAGGATTTGTGTAGATTCTCTTTTGGAAGCTTTGTTAGAGCCTAGTTGAATGGTGTATTGGAAGCTAATCTAGATAAATTATGGGATAATATTAAGAAATTTGTATAGGCTAATATTCAGTTCTTCAGGAATCTAATTGACAGAATATAAAATAAAATTTAACTTTTTTAAAATGAGTTTCATTGATTTTAAGAGTTCAAGTCACTCGAACAAAGCTATGGAAGTGGAGGTAGCTAGAAACAAAGAGGAAAAAAAAAAAAAAAATAAAAGTGGAAAAGAAAGAAATTGTAACCATGAGAAATTATAAATCAAAGCATTTGTATTGGCTTGCTACAAGGAGAAATAAATTTTGCAATAACATTTTTCAAGGTATTAAATCTATTCTTCTCTTGTATTTTTGTTATTCAAAATATGGATTTCGTATTTATTTTTTTAATTTTCTTTTCACTTCAATATTTTATATTTCTTTTGATGTTCTTTTTGTTTTATTTTTTAAAATCTTAAATATTTTATTTTCCTTCAAATTTATCAAACTACAAAGTAGGCCTAGACAATTAAGTGCTTTACTTTCTTCAAATTTTTTTGGCCTAAGGCCAGGGTAGGGTAGAACCCATGCCTAACCTTGGGCCAACGTGCTTCGCCGCTGATTTTCTCTCTTTCCTCTCACTCCATGCTCTAAGCGTTCAATTTTTTTTTCTCTTTTTTACAAATCTAGGTTTGGTACCCACAAGTAATTATTACAGATCTAGTCACTCAAAACAAATTAATCAAACCCACCCTTAGGATGCCGTCTGTGAGGTGAGGTTAGAATTCTCGTGTTTAGAACAAAAAGATATTTTATTTCAGTAATGTTATTTTTACACATGACATATTTTATTTTTATTTCTTTACATAAAATCATCGAGATAAGGATATATTAATCATGAAATTTTTAGAAGATATTGTAGCAGTTGACATTTACTTGGGGATTATTAATCATGTGCTCTTAGTTTGGATAAAAATTTTATAAGGAGCCAACCTTCCTTAGAAAATAAAAGATACACAAAAGAGCGTTCCCTATTTTTTTTGTCCCAATCACATAAAAAGACTCCTTAGGTGACAATCATACACAAGGGAAAGCAATCTTTTCTGTATTCTTTGAATGAGGCATGTTTCAATCCATGCGTTGGATTCGATTCCTTCTATAATTGAATCGTTTAATGAGAATTATGGAGTCTTGAACTTGTTCTTCTTCTAGAAAACCGCATCACAATTAAATCATCAACTTCGCCTGCGGAGTTCACTAGCGTATCCAAGAAATGAAAATCCATGGGCAGGATGCATTGTCATATCATGTGCATTATTGCATTTATACCCTTCTCTTTATATTCCCTATACATACTTCATGACAAATTTTGTTTTCATCAAATAACTCTTTCAACTTTTGTTTTTCACAAGTGATCCTCTAATTTTAGCCTTCATCAAATTAGATCTCTTTTAGTTTTATGCCTTGCAAATAAGACCTTCAATTGTATTTTCATTAAAAGATTTCCTTAATTTTCATTTTCAGTCTGTCGGCTCTCTTTTTCACTAAATCAATTTTCAATATTTGTTGTCACAATAAGTCCTTAGTCTTTTGACTTGATCAAATAACTCCTTCATATTTTGCTTTCACGAAATAAACCCCCCATTTTCATTAAGCTAGTTCATTAGTCTTTTCTTGCATTAAATTAGTCCTACGAATTTGTTTTTCATCAAATTAATCATCAGGCTATTGTTGCTTAATCTTGCACGTGACTAGTAATACAGAAGTTGGTGTTTCAATATTTTCTATTTCTGATGAAGTTTCCGAAGGAACGGACTAGGGAAGGTCTTTTCTATTTTCATCATTGAATAAATTTTTTATTCCCCCGCTAAATTTGGCTTGCGGTTGTGAAGAGATAACTAGACAGGCTGTTCATTTCAATGTCTTGTTTTCAAAATTCAATAAATGATTTTTTTTTTGATCTCTTAGTTTTGTTTAATGTAATTTAGTTTTATTCAATAAATGTTTTATATTCTACAAATTTCATTTCTAATCTCTCTTCATTTTTTGAATCTATGCTATCCTGAACACCTTATCCTTTGAATTAGAATCCAATTTTGATGCCTCCATTCTCAGAGTAAAGGTTCTATATGTTGGCTCAATGCACTTCAAGAGGGGGGGTGAATTAGAGTTCAAAAATTTCTTCTTTGCAATCACAAAACAAAAAATTAAAGAAAGTAAGGAAGAAGAGCTTGCTCAATGATTTTATAGAGATTTGGTCTAACTACTTGGAGTCTAATCTTCTATCTTGGCTTCACTCATCAAGGATTTTCTTCACACTTTCCACTATCAAGAACAAGGGTGGCCTAAAGGAGCCACTGAATTTTTTTACGAGAAAATGGGTATTCCTTCAAATCTCACCCATTTACAAGACAAACCCAAACAATCCTCTCTACAAATCACTCTTGAAAGAATAATCACACCCCCAAGATCACTCACAAATAAAACAAGAGGAGGATTACAAGTAAAGATCTCTCAAAGATCAAAGTCTCAAGTTAAAGCACAAGTTGGTAGGTAAAGATATTCAATACAATGCTCTTCAAACACGTTCTAGATCTTCTATCAACCATATTTATAACCTCATGGTCAAAAATAGCCGTTACTAGTTGTTGGGGGTCATTTAATGCTTTGTAGGTCGTGTAATTTCGAATTGCAGAATTGTCAGTACAGCCGGCTTAAAGAATAAAGTCGGCTCTACACAACCGGCTTAGAATCTTACAACCGGCTTTGCGGGTTTCCTGCATATTCTATTTTCTTTGTACAGTCGACTTACATTCCTTGAGTCAACTTTGCGGGTTTTCTGCATATTTTGTTTTCTTACACAATTGATTGTAAAATGTAAAGTTGGCTTTGGGATTTCAACTTTAAAAACATTAATTAATCTTCAAATAACTCAATCGTTGTGTATTAAATGTGTCCTTATAGTCGACTGTAAAGTCAAAGTCGAATTTGCATCTGTTTGTCACATGTGCCAAACAACAAGCTTGAATTTTTCTCTCGTAGAGCTGGTTGCAGCTCTTAGAGCCGACTTTCTGCACTTCACTTTCACTAGAGCCGACTGCAGGTTTCAAGAGTCGGCTCTTTGCACATTTTTCAAGCCTTTTGGTTCATTTTTACTAAGTCCAAATTTACTTACTTTGCAATCTATTAGCAATTTAACTACACACTTAAATGAACCAATTATTCATTCAAATGTGTTTTATAATCATCAAAATCATAGGTACAACACTATATTGGTGTAGACACTACAAGAGAAAGGGTTTTTAGTGACAAAAATTTAT